AAAGAGAAATGGCGTCATTCGCTCCCTAAGTGATCATGGTTTTAAAAAATTGACACTTAAGTAATTCGAAAAAAAAAACTTTTGGCATTAAGTGAGTGTCGTACATGACTTTTGACACTTTTAGTGTCTTTCTATTTAGAGAATTTTTAATTTTATGTATCAAATTTGAGCTGTTTACCAAATTCAACCAAATTGGAAGATGTAGATTGGTCCGCATTGCAAGGCCAATTAGGGGTGCAGTTTCTTAGGCAGTGAAATAATTTGTTGGAGATAATATTGAAGGTCGGCCACATATGTATTTGTAATCAAACAATATATATATGACTTGTTTTTGGGCCTTATCTTTAAGGGTTTGACCAAAACAAAGAAGGAAAATTTCCATTCGCGTACTGGTGCATTATAAATGAGACTTTATGTTTTTGTCCTTTTGTGTCGCACATGAAAGTATAGCCCTAAAGAAACAAAAAAGGTTGAGGTGGGTTCCTTCAGTAAAATGAACAGCTACACAATAAAGAATTTCTCAAAGACGTACGAAGAGATCTATGTACATAGGCAAACGGTGATTTTTGCAAAGTGAGTTCTTAAGTTATTTATTTGTGAACACTATGGATTTGGGCCTAATTTAAGTGTGGGAAATACTCGAGTGTGTGAGCGATTGTATACTCCGATTATAATGGATTATTTGATACTGACTCTTCTCGTAGAGTAGATACCGACACTCAAACCAAACCACGTAAATCTCTCGTGCCCTTATTGGAGAAAAGTGTCAAAAAAGTCCTAAACTTTTTGCATTTGTGCCAATTTAGTCCTAAACTTTTTTTGGTGCCAATTCAGTCCTAAACCTTTTGCATTGGTGCCAATTTAGTCCTAAACCTTTTTTTGGTGCCAATTCAGTCCTAAACCTTTTGCATTGGTGCCAATTCAATCCTAAACCCTTTTTTGGTGCCAATTCAGTCCTAAACCTTTTACATTGGTGCCAATTTAGTCCTAAACCTTTTGCATTAATGTCAATTCAGTCCTTCTGGCTAATAGTTATTCACGTGCCGAAGGACTGAATTGGCACCAATGCAAAAGGTTTATGACTAAATTGGCATAAATGTAAAAGGTTTAGGATTGAATTGGCACCAAAAAAAGGTTTAGGACTAAATTGGCACAAATGCAAAAGGTTTATGACTGAATTGGCACAAATGCAAAAGGTTTAGAACTGAATTTGTACAAAAAAATAGATTTAGGACTAAATTGGCACCAATGCAAAAGGTTTAGGACTGAATTGGCACCAAAAAATGGTTTAGGACTAAATTAGCACCAATGCGAAAGGTTTAGGACTTTCTTGACACTTTACCCGTCCTTATTGTTCCTTGTTTATTTCTCTTATGGTTTCACGTTGATTTAAATTGCAAGGTCCAATTACTTTCCGAGTTATATTTTACAACAATTGATATTAGAGTTACGGGATAGGATTTTCTAGATTGTGAATTCGCTTGTCTGATTATTATCTAGAAATCTTGCTGCAATTACGTTTGGAGCAAAAGTAGAAATTGAGAAATTTAATGGGAAGAACAACTTTGAATTGAGAATTGTTAAAATGCGTACACTATTGATAACCCAAGATCTGGCCAAGGCATTGGATGACAAAGATGAGTTGCCGATTTTGATGAAAGTGGCCGATAAGGTAGAGTTAATGAAGAAAACAAAGAGTACAATTTTATTGAATTTGTCGGGTGAGGTGCTAATAGAGGTGATCGAGGAGAATGATGCTGCAACGTTGTGAGCAAAACTTTAGGTTCTCTATGTGACAAATGGTTTAAATTATTGCTTATACTTGTTAAAGAGAATGTTTCAATTTCAATAAAATGAATGTACGTCTATCAGATCCCACCGACAAGAGCATCGATAAGATCCTAGATGATGAAGAACAAGTCATGATATTGTTAGCTTCTTTACTAGAGTCGACATAGGAGCACTTTATTGATTCGCTGTTACAAGGGTATACTACGATTACCTCGGAAGATATGAAATCCACATTGTTCTCGAAGTAATAGCGGAGGAAATTGCGAGATGACAATCTAGCGCAAAACATAGTGCGGGGACTAGTAATTCGAGATAGAAATCAACATTGAGGGTCCAATAGTAGTAGAGGTAAAAACAGGTTGAAGTCATACCATAGAAAGTCCAAGAGACACATGAAATGTTTAAGTGTCATGAGGAGAGGAATATCAGGAGAGATTGTCCGAAGCTAAGAAACAAAGTTGATAGGCAAAATGCCACAAGCAATGTGGCAAACGTTGTTGATGCGAGCACTAGTGATGCAAAGGCCGTCTTGTGTGTGACTTTTAGTTCTTCAAAAGATGAATGGGTTCAAATTCGAGGTATTCTTATCTTGTCTCATAGGAATTGAATTACTACTTACCATACTATAGATGGCAATAGAGCTTTGATGGAAATAACGCCAGCCTGCAAGATTGTGGGGATAGGGACAATTCAAATTTGGATGCACGATGGGGTAGTATGTATATTGACAGACGTGAGGCATGTATCGAAGTTGAAAAAGAACCTTATTTGGGGACACTCAATGAATTATTCCTCCTTTGGGGAACTCCACTTTGGGCCAAGGGAAGAGTCACGATGGATTCAATCTTATTAGAGATATGATGCATTCAAGGGATTTTCATGTTTTTTGCGTAACGCAGAAGATATTTAAGGGACATCTCTGGTGTTTTTGTAATTAGGGATAATGACACAAACAGTCTCGAACTTTGGCTCAATATGCAATTTGATCCCTGAACTTTTAATTTGTTCAATGTGGTTCCTGAACTTTTGGTACATATTCAATTTAGTCCATAAACTATATGAAAATATACAATATAGTCCCTGAACTTGAATTAATGGAATGACTACATTAAACATTTTTATAAAGTTTAGGGACTATATTGAACATGTACCAAAAATTCAAGGACCACATTGAACAAATTGAAAGTTCGGGGACCACATTGAATATTGGGTTAAAGTTTAGAGACTACATTGAACAAGTTAAAAGTTCATGGATCAAATTGCACATTAAGTTAAAGTTTATGGACTGTTTGTGTCATTTTCCCTCGTAATTATGAGGTTTTGAAGAGAATATACACTCTATTCTTTGCTCTTCTTCGATTTTGGCAAAAGAAACATGGCAAAAATGATAAGCATACAAAGTCAGCGATTCTGACCAAAAAAAAAAAAGGTCGGCGATCAGAAATTGTCCAACATATTAATCTTGTTACAATTTGGGCTGTCTGAAGCAAGACTTTCGTTCAATCGCATTACCTTCTTTAGAAACATTATTTATATTTTTAATTAAAACCATAAAAATTCATAAATCATGCCCATTGTGTCGCCGAAAATCCTAAATCATTCCCAATGATACACCTTGCAGAGCACAATTAGCTTGAAACTTCCACTCGCAGTTTATCAAGCAACAACTTGCTCTTCCAATCCTATCTTTGGCCAATATGGAACGGTTTCCATATTCAACTTCTCATTTCAATGGGAAAATTGTCCTAAAAATTCTAAACATATTGCGTTTTTATCATTTCAATCCTAAACCTTTTAATTGTGTCAATCGATTTCTAAACATTTGCACGTTTTCCCAATTGAGTCAGTTCTGCTAATTTTGGCAAAAAATCACTGACATTAATGTTAGCCATCCTACATGGCACAATTGGTGCTGACTCGGACAATATTTCATAATATTTTAATTTTTTCCGAATTTTTTCTTTTTCTTTCTTCCCTTCTTTCTGTAGCCGGTCGCTGTGCCTCGACAATCAGCCAGAGGCGAGGGCTGGTGAGGTCGACCTCGCCGGCCTCTAACGAAGCTCACCCCCATCGGCCACTGGTGAGGGCAAGCCTTGCCCGCCCCTAGCAAGGCGATTGCCAATTTCATCAACTAAACAGATATCATTGAATTTAGTCTTACAAAATTAATATAAACACGTGCCAATTGATTCTAGTGAAGGGGTCGGGACGAGTTTATTAAGTTGGCATGGATATAAGTCAAGTTGAATATAGGTCAGTACAAATATAAAAATGCCAATAGGGGTTAAAACAGATGGACCTACTCTCAGCCTGAACTGTCCAAGCAAGTGTTCTATGTCTCCACATTGCTCATGTGCCACGCGAAATCTGAGCCAACAAACCATCCTGGGCACCCAAGCTCCCATATCGACTTGAAGAATTGGTCCATGAAGACACCCATTCTTCAAAGGCAACAATTTAAGGAGAAAAAATTACTAAAAATTATAGCCTGAGTAAGGTAAAGTATTGGTTGGGTCCAAGTCAAGTATGAATCATTAAAATTATATTGCATAAAAATATGTCAATGCAAATATAATGGGTCAATTTGGATTGGACCATTTTTTATCCGATTCATTCTGACGGCACTATTTTTAGGGCACTTTGGTTATTTGAATAGCAACTTGAGTTCTTAACGGCAACGAAAAACATCATTTGTCCTTAAAAGATTGTGTTGCATTTAATAAATAAAAGCTTTTACAACTGTTGTTGGTGATGTAAGCTAATAACAATTTCCTCCAGCTTATGAGTTATCAAGCAACTTATAATAAAAAGGGGTAGAGGTCAAGCCCTACAGTCCAGCCCACCTCTTGCCCAAATCTAGACAGACAACTTTGTCAAGTGTCATTTGCGATCCCACTTTCTCATGTTGACCACGACCGGTGACATGAAATTTGGTTCCAAGAACGATGGTAGCTGATGAATGCATCAAAAGTTTTAAGACTAGTCACTAAACATCGAGCATTTTTCTTCTTCGTTATAACTAGTTGCATTTTGGCTCAGTATAAGCAGTGATTCCTCACAATGATATCAAATCAAAGAGAATTTTCATGACCCGAATTTAAATGTTTTCTTTACTGCTCCAAACAATCTTCAACAAACATCGGAACAGGTGCGTGCAGTCCAAGAAGCAAGTTGCATCATAAGTGGTTCATGAGATGTGGATCACAACCTTGGAAGCACAGTCTGAATCTTATATCCTTGATGACAGAAGCAAAACAAATCTACAGTTGAATTTTAAGCTACCTAGATCAAAATTCTCATCTGGTAGGTTTCTTCTGGTGGAGGGTAAAATAGAACACAAAGATCAGTGCCATTACAAGCATATCACATATCGCATTGACCAAGTTCTCGTCAAACGAGAAGCAAACAAAGGGAATGCTGGTGAGAACTGTCATGCGTGAAGACTTAACTGAGGGGGAGCGATGTCTGCCGTTCCAGATTCATGATCTGATAAATCATGTTTTCTGTGGAAGTGTCTATTTCTTCTTCTTGAGGATGGTTGATGTCCTAAAGTCGGCATCATCTCTAATAAAGCTCCACCATAAATATGTCAAAGGAATGGTAGTGGCATGCCAGAGAGCATGGGCATCTACAAGTCCCTGGTAGGGTGGGAAGTCGTAAATCTCCAACAGCATAGCTGCAGCTCCACCCACGACCACCACCCACAATTTCCAACGCGATGGATGCCGAGTGACACCAGCCCATACCGCCCATAGAAGAAGTTGAGCTATGCCCATCACCACGCAGACTTTCATGTTCAGACCTGCAACAGAGCGATATTTAAGACCATTTCTGGTAGAAGACTCGCAATATCAAGCAAGACAAGGATTCAAGCCATTATGTGACTAAATAGATCGGTAGGTTGATTGCTGCACACATCTGTTTATTCATTTTGGAACTTTCAGCAACTATTTTGATACATGTTTTCTAATATTGTTGGTGTCGCCATTTATAAAACCCGATTCAAAACCAATCTTAAGTTGTCTATCGGTTAACCCATGATGACCACTAACTTTGTGACAAACACATAAAACTATTCGTGAAGACCGCTGACTATCATTTATCTAGGTCTGGAGATCATATATACAAGACCACAGTTTTTGCAAGCAAACCGATCCCCCCCAAAAAACCTAGGGATGAGCATCTGAATATTGCCAATCAGAGACTCACATAGTACTCCCGACCTCATGTCAATAATTCCAGGTCAAGCATTTCTTGAAACTGCACTAGGCATTAATGAATATCTATCTCGAGGGTAAAAAACCCTTGTGGCTAGCACAAATCTGATAATAAGAACATCAAAGCATGGCCCTCAAGCATTCAAATTCATGGCATTAAGGAACAACATGGATTTACAAGACATCGGAGCGCCAACACAATCTTGAAGGGCATTCTTAACAACCGTAGAAATAATGGGTGCATGAATGAAAGTATTTACCATAATCAAGCTTATAGAAGTTGAGATATAAGATATGTGTGGTCACAAATGCAATAAGAGGAGCTGCAACCATGACCCTAGCAGCCTCATCTCTCACGTTAATTGATCTCAGTATTGCCAATATGAGAGAAAACCCGAGTAATGCAACAGCAGATGAATAATCCAGCTTTTCTGTGAAGTCCACATCTCTGTGAAAGTAAGTACATTAAAGAACATCAAGAAGGCATGAAACATAACAGGATAAGCAGATATAGGTCTTTTACAATCAATTGTAAGGGAGATGCAGCAGATTTGACATTATCATCCCTCACGTAAGAGATGAATGCCGACAGGAACAAAAAACAAAAGTCAAATTGAACTACCAGCCTCGAGTGTCATAAAAGTTCTATTATGATGCATTTCCACTATTATATCCCGATACACAAAGTAAGCTTTATTATGAAGTACTCGACTCTAAATACAAACTGAATGAAGATCGAACCTATTTCCTGGTTGCATTGATCTATCCAGTTCAGTTTCTCTGACCTGTTGATAATTCTGCTCACCTATTCAGATGCACTCTTGCTTCGTTTATCTCTATTTATATTCAAATTGGAGAGGCTATTGGAAGCAGAGTTGTTGAGATCAAAGGCTGTTTCCTATGTTTAAAGTTCTTAAGTATGGTGTGATAACTAATTGCCACATCGACATGTAGAAAGAAATGAAATGCCAAATTAGTGGTCACATCATGTAACAAACTGGTGGTTCTTTCATCGCATTTACAATTCAGGAATAGGCATCTATTCCCAAACAGTACTGCATAATGTTCAATCTAACTGATGCATGATGGCTAGTGTTAAGACGTTTTTTCATGTAAGAATGACAGCCGAACACAGTTAGCGCTCTAATGCTATGCAGGGAATTTATTAGCCAATTTCCACTCATTAAGGCAGATACTAAAATCATGATACAAGAGGTGGCACTCGATGATACAAAATTTGACCAAAATGAAAAGCATATGTTTGGCAATACTTACCGACTGTGAAATACAGCACTCCAGAACCAGGAATTCATGGACAAGAAACCATACACATGCCACAAGCTCGTATATTCATAGTAAGTTCTCTTATCTGGTCTCAGGGGTAACTTGTAGTACAAAAGGACGAAGAAGGATAGCCACCCATGAAAGTGCATTGCAAGATTAAGCGCAGAAAAAGCAACAGAGACAGGTTCCTGATGATGGAAGAAAATCAGTTTAGATGCATGTTGAGCATATATGCTATCAAATATCATCAGATACACACATCATAGTTTGATAATGCTAGAAAACAAATTAAATGTGGAAACCTGAAATCCATAGACACGCTTGAACGGCCATTTCCCATGATATTTAACAGGTTTGTGGCCAAGTTTCTGTCTTTCCTCTTCTCTCACAAGCATACAATGATATCGGCAATCACTCTGGCAGTCCCAATGTTTCCATCTAAGGTAAAGGGGTTCTTGCAAATACCATGGACCATCAATAGGTTTCCCATCAGATGAAAATTTACAATGTTGGAAGCACTGGTCTCCCACACACCCCGAGCTTTCACAGTTTTCTACGCAAGACCTGGCAAAACATCAAGACTAGCCATGATGAAATGGAAAGTATTCCAATCAAAGAGCAACCTTCCAGATTGAACTTATTTCAAACCAGCAAGTAGATAGGCCAACTTACAAGAACAACTCTACAGCCATTCAAAGAAAAAACGAAAAATCTTTCAGGGAAAGGACTTTTCTTTCTACTTCTTATCGACTTCGAATCCAAAAAAGAAAACAAGCAAAGAGCAGAAGCAACACAAAAGTTCAATCAGCTCTTCCTGGAATAGTTGCATTCAGCAAAGATGGACCTTTATTCTAGTCATAATTGGAATTTAAAAAAAGAAAAAGAAAAGCCAAGCAAAGGGGAACTAAATACAAAGAGAATGAAGATGCATCTCGTTTCATTTAACATTTTAACAACGTCCTTAGACTCCTTATCTTTGCACATCAATCAACGTACCCGTGATTTGTTACAAATACAGCCCCGTTATCTCTTAACAACAAATAAGGAGGGAGAAGTAACTCACATAGACAAGCAGAGAATGAGATGCACACACGGACACGCATAAAAAACTTAGAACAGACACACATAATTTCCAGCCCCGACCTCTTCCATATATTCCCACCGTTATAATCAAAAGAATGTATACCATCGGCAAATATGCCAAAGCGCACGGCTTCTTAAATGTCATACTTCGACTTGCATCTCCTAAACCTCCACAAACCACCAGATGGCTAACAACACAGAATTCAAAAGAAAGCTTTCATCTTTTTCTATCTTCTTTTCTAGTTAGACGCACCGATCTTGGTCTTATTTCTTTCTAAACTCAATCACAAACGAGCAACACTGCATCGACAAATCCAGCTCCTCAAACAAAAGAGCGAATCCGCACCACAACATAACCAAACACCATCCACAGGACACAAGCGAATCACCAACCAGAAGGCACCTTATCCAGCAGATCCGTAAACGATCCCGAACAGAACAACAATTGAGCGAAACGAACACAAACCCAACCGGCAGAAGAAGAAGAAGAAGAAAGCCACCTGTAAACCGGATCCGCGTCGCCGGCGCTGGCGTCGAGGCCGGCGACGAGGGAGAAGAGCGCGACGGAGAGCAAGAGCGCGCGAGGGGGACTCATCTGGTCAAATCACGTACTGGGTTCCATCGGAAAACGATCAGATTGAAAGATTTGTGAAGGAAGCAGAACAAGAGAGAGCTAAGGAAGTGGAGAAGAGCAGAGCAAGACCTCCAGAGAGGGAGCTGATCTCAGATGTTTATCACCATGGCTTCTTTGTGTTTACCCCCCAAGTCTGTATGGATTGACCACTATTGAAAATGTATTATAAAACCCACTTTCCCATTTTACAATGGTGTTGTAGAACATTAAAAAGAGGGAGTAGGGTTGAAGTGCTGTTAAATTTTTTTACCTTGGATGATGACCTGTCTTTGATCGAACCGGTAGACGGATTTAGTCTAGACACGTTAAGATCTTTTGTTAAGCTAGGCAAAAACAAGATGTTATTAAATGGAACGTGACTTGAACAGCCTGTCGAATTCGGAGCGAAAGCCGACTCGTGAATGTCTCGATCATTTACGCTCCTATTCTTTTGACTTTCTACTTATTAAGAGATTTTGGAAGATTTTTAAGATTCCTATCTTAGCATTACATGCTTATCTACGGCCAAAATGCGTTCCACCTCTCGTTCTTTTCCCTAATATATGATGTGAATCGCTTGTTGGTGATGAATAGAGCCAACCCTTAAGGAAGATATTGAAGGCTTGTAGGATTGTGACAACTTAGCAAAGATTCATATCATAAATGGAGTCATATGTTGCGTTCACACGGTATTACGTACCTAGATGAGTTTCGTAGCCAATTTACTGCTACAATGTACAAACTATGTAGTACTCTCTCTCAATAGACGTGAACACTAATGTTTGTGCAGCAAATGAACATGTTATTGACATTACAAAAGCAAATGTCCCTATGATAAACTAGAGAGGGATATGACAGCATTGAGGCTGGCAAGGCACTCGGTAGGAAGCCCTAGGAACGTGTTCATCAAGAAGTCATCAATGGGATCAACACTTGCCACTCCCACCAATCTGCAATTCCCTTCCTCATCCAGTCTCTCTCCTCGGCCGCATCTCATGGTCCCCTTCGATTCCTCCGACGTCAGCACGGTCTCCACGATCAGCGGCGGAGCTCTGTAAAGGCTCCCGACTGAGAAGCAAAACTTAGCCTTGAATTGAAGATCGACCTGCAAGTACAAGATTACGATTTGAAGTTCGAACTGATGAGATCTTCGATATTCATCATTTGTCTAGTTTACTGAGATTTTTTTACCTTGCCAGATTCTTGGCAAATCCTGCCTTCAAACAGCTGCGGAACTATGTCTATCTTCAGGAAAGGCGGCAGCGGCAATCCCAAGATTTTAGTAGTCGCGCTCGTCAATGGCGGGACATAAAGCGTGTCGACGTCAAAAGACACCGATATTTCTCCAGTCGGATCGCCGTTCGAAGCCACTGAACCGTGCCCACTTCCGTTACCTCCCTGAGGATTGTACTCGAAATCGGGATATCTGGCGATGCCGAGCTTGCAAGCCCCAAGGGTCTTGAAGTCTACCTTGTAAGCATTAGGCCTTGAGAGTTGGACTTGACTGGTTGTGGCTGTTGAAGCGAGTTCTCCATCATCTTTAGCGTAGGAAGAAGAAATGAAGGAGATGGATTTTGGAGCGACTCTTGCTCTCATTGTTGGGAGTTTGCACAGAACCGGTGAGCTCGAGGCATTGATCTTGCAACCCATTTGGGGCATCTGCTCTGTTATTGAGTTCAGGAGAGGCAGACGAAGAAGAAGAGGGTCATTTTTCTGTTTTTTTCTTTTTCTTTCTTTCTTTCAGGTGATGGATGTTTGTGGAATTGGTCCATGTGGATAACGCACAAAATATATATTTCTGTCCTTAAAGAAATCGAAACGATATACGGGGATAAAGCTTCGGGTAAGCAGAACATGAGGCTGATATGCGCCGAGTTGGACTTGCCTTCCTGGCCACTGTTTTTTTGTGCGCTTCTTTGATGCATGTCGCTCGTAAGCAAATGTAGAGGAGCCCATTTGACTTGAAAATCAACCCATCGAGTGCATCGTTCTTTTGCATTATATAGCAGCATCATGAAAAGAGTGTGTGAAAATATAAGAGACTTGAGATCGAGTAACTGATTGAACCAGTTGAATTGGTCCAAAAATTCAACCAAAAAACACGTCGGAACCGGACGGAAGTCCTGTAAACTATCATTTGGTTGTGGTCCGCTTTCTTGATTATCTTAATTAATCCGGGAAAACCTACCCCAACCACCCAATGCAGGCAGGTTGCCCGTCCCGGTACACCGGATGAGATGCGGACAAGGGGTCTAGGTAAGGATCGCCACCCTTCACCTCAAGAATGAATGGTGTCGGCCTATTACTCCGGCCGCACCTCTCAAGGCAAGCAAATTTTCCCAGATTGATGTAACAAAGCTCGAGCTCTGACAAGTTAGACCGTGGATGAACCAGTCCCACGAGGTGGTCAGATGAGAGTATTTTCCAATTGAATCTAAATTCACGTGCCAGGACACGATACAAACGACAACTGAACAAGTTTTTGAGCACGTTCGACCTAGCCGCCTGAGAAGGCTCATCAAAACTGAACGAGGGATGTTGTCTATTCGCAACTGGGTTGGCTATGAAGTCACGAAAATCCAACACTAGTTCCTCAGATAAGAATTCAGAAGAATCTTGAGAAAGACACTGAGTAGAGATAACAAAAGTTGAGAAAATCCACCATTACAATCACTCAAGAGCAAGACATTCACCCAATAATGTTTAATCCTTGGCCACTCCTCATCAATCGTATCTCCAGTTACAAATTGTACATCTAATGAGGACAATGCTCCGTCGTCACACAAATATTTTCCGCTCACTAATAGGTCACAGCACTGTCAAATTAGCACATATACGATAGGTAGCTTAGATTGCACCATGTCCAATTTCTTCAGCAGACAAGAGAAGATCTAAGAGAAGTGGGAATCAATGTGCACGACGACCACCGGATGACTGACTCGGTCACCACAAGATCTAGTCGCTCCTGCTCGCCAAGGCCAATCGTTCTATTCCTCTTGCTATGGATGCCCAATACTCTATGCTCAGTTGTTCCTCCGCCCCTCTTAACTTCAGCTATTTTATGCTCCTCCTCTCCCACCAAATGGTTGAAAACGACAAGTGATGAACTTGGCAAGGTAAACAGCTTACCCGACCTTGCCTCTGCACATACACGAACGTATGGTATCAACTAACAAGAATATAAAGTTGTCGACATTAGCAAAATGAAGAACCATGTACCTCCACCTGCAGACGCATATGATGACAACCCTGATGGAGCACTTCCTTGTCCATTCATCGAACCGGGACTGAAGAAAGAAAAGCTTGGCATTGAGGGAATAGGAGATGAGAACTCCAGGGCACCAGAACTACCACAGCTGCGGAAGGAAAACCCACCAGAAGCAAGGCATGGTGTTGATGGTTCAGGAAAGAAGGAAGAAAAAGATGATCTGCATGTAAATGTGGGTGACTGAGCTTCACATGTAATGTGTGTTCTGTTGCCAAAGCTGATATCCTGATCCCTAGGCATATGCGTGGCAGAAAACGACACTCCACAATCATCAAATCCTCCAGAAGCCCTATGCTCCCATAGATTTAGGACTTCAACATTTGGTCCATGTTCGTCCATCCAGGAATGTTCTTCACGAGGACAATAATATGCACAAGTTGGGAGTGGAAATATACGTAAGATACAATCATTTATAAAGACCTACACAAGGTATATGTACACAATGGTTATCAAAGTCAGAGATTGAAGTAGTATGCTCAACTACTTATCTTGCATAAGCATCATTATCATGTCCAGTGAAGACAAAAGGCACACCCGCGAGGCCTAAAATGCTTATCACAAGACTCGCATTTAAGTTGATGCTAAGTGAAGTATCCTGGTCTATTACCAGTATACCATACAAGTCACCATAGATTACAATAAAAGACGCTTTCAATCTATTTAGATTTGATAGTCAGGATCCATCATCGCAGTACATACAAGATTTTCCTAGGCAGATGCTTAAACGCTACTATAGTAGATATGGCAGAGATGATCAACTTTTTGTTGTAGTCTTTCTTGGAAAAGAAAAGCCAAAGATATCCTACTTCCAGATGATATTAAGAACAACATGGAACAGCCTTTGCATCGCAATAATGTCATCCACTAATTGGAATTTAGCCTCGCTGTTAAGTTAGGGATGGCACACAAACATTCATTGAAAGTCACATTACATAGACGTACTCCCATATAGCTTCATAAAAATAGCAGATTTGTGTGAACTTACATTAAGCGGAAACAATGTAGATTGACCTACCTAGAACATCCTGAGCTGTGAATCTTTGAGAAGCATCAACACAAAGCATACCCTTGATGAGAGCCTTTGCAGATGCAGAGATGCAATCCCAAGGACTGGATGGGAATCGCAGATCAGCTATTCTAACGGCATCAAAGATACATGATTTGGTCTTCCCCCAAAATGGCGGCATCCCACTGAGGAGAATATAAAGGATGACCCCAGCGCTCCAAATATCAGCACTCTGGTTATAACCCCCCGACAACACCTCTGGAGCTATGTAAAATGGACTCCCAACAGTCCCGTGCAGACTCTGTCCTGTAAAGATATGCTGAATCATAAAACTCACTATTTGGAGGAGAGAGAACAGCGAGCAATGAATATTATCAACAGAGCAGGAATTAAGACCTTACCGGGCTTAATGTAAGTGGCAAGACCAAAATCAGCCAATTTAATGGGCGAAGATGAGGCCTTGGTTGCCAATAGAATGTTTTCCGGCTTCAAATCTCTATGAACTACCCCTTTCTCATGACAATACAAAACCACTTGCATAAGATGCCTGAAAAGAACCCTAGCCTCAGCCTCAGAGAATCGACCATGTTCCATTAACTGGTGAAACAGTTCCCCTCCAGCGCAAAGCTCCATCACCAAGTGAACGTAATCTTCCTCCTCATAGACCTCTTTCAAATCAACTACATTTGGATGCCCAGATAACCTAGTCATTATCTCGATCTCGAGCTTCACGCTACGCACATCATCGGATGTCACCAGTCTATCTTTGGCAATCGATTTGCACGCGAGGAGTTCCCCAGTTGACTTATGAGAACATGCCCTGATTACACCAAATTGACCCCAACCCAACTGCTCACCGAGTGCATATCTATCTTTCAAGTTTGAGATCTGCTCTGCACCCAAAATCGTTTCGCTCAAGCCAGCAACTTTATAGTAGTCGCACGCCTTTATTGATGATTCGCTGCTGCTGCTGTTGCTCTTGGCAACAGCCATAACAAAGACTTACCCAATGATTATCAGATTCTTGGGTAGGATCCAAAGCTATTCTAGACTAATGTCTGCCCTCAAACGCTTCAAACCCTTTCGGCGCAACTAAGAATGCCGAGTTTTGAAGTCAAAGATCCTCATTTTCTCCAAAAGCATACCGTAGGTCAAAATCCGAGAAGAAGGTTCTCATGTGACCAGTTTGCTGAAGTTGACGAGGGCTCTTACCGTGATGGTCACGACATCATTTTCCTGGGAATGCGGGAAACAATTCTGAATAGACTTCAGTCCCCAAGAGAATCATCTGGATCTGAAACATGACCAAAAAAAGCAACAAACTTTATCACATCATCGTCTTCTCGCTGGATTCAACTAAAACCCACTACATCAAAACACCAGCTACTCTGGAAAATTCTCTGACCAACGTCAGCTACTATACTATAATAAAGATACCGATTTCAAGGTTAAAAATTTTCAACTGAAGGTGAAAACAGAAAAAAAAATTTGCTGCAATGTGCAACCTGCTTTCAGCAGACAAGACAGAAGGCGAAAGGCAAAACGACAAAAATTTTCAAAAATCAGGAATCTCGAGGTTTTGAAAGCGAAAGCACCCAAAAAAGCCTCCATCTTTGAGAACCCTATTGACCCCTAAGCAGTCGGTGATGGACCTCGGTCGCAGAGCAAAACAACTCATACCTATTGATCACTAATGCCCATCGGCTAAAAAGACGTTCTTTAAGTCACGCGCGCACAAAAGAAGAAATACCCGAAAGCCAAAATGCTCTCTGCTGCAAATTTCCAGAGCACGCGCGACGGCTCAGCATCCACGCATCGCGCTTACATGGAGAGCAAGAGAGCGAAGACTTCGAGCGAGCGAGAGACAGAGATAGAGAGACAGAGGTAGAGAGAGAGAGAGAGAGAAGAAGATGCCGTTGGAGCAGGACAAGCTGAACTATTTGGCTTCTCTCTCTCTCTCTCTCTGCTTGTGGGGCTCTCTCCCACCCTCCCTCTCTCTCTCTCTCTCTCTCTCTGCTCTGCTTCTCTGGCGATGGCGATTTGCTGTGCTGGGGGTGCTTTGGGTGCTCTGTTTTTCCCCTGCTTTTTTGAAATTGAAAGGCTTCCCCTTCCACTCCTCGGATGCGAACTCTTTCTTTAATTCCGTTTACTTTTGATTTGATTATGTGATTATGATTATTGTATTCTCAGCAAGGCTAGTCAAAGCGTTGTAATTTGCAACGATGCCCCTCGCATATCTTTTTTTATAAGTTTTAGTAACTCGTACTTTAGTACTTGTGAAAGTACCCCGTTCTTCCAATCTGATATATATTATACTAAAATTGACTCCGCACGACGAGTTTTAAGCTTTAATGAATAGAGTCTTTTCTATTTTCCAAATGAAAACTCAAGAATTTCTTCAAGATAAAATGAAATTTTAGAGGAAAATCTCTTGATAATCAGAAGTAAAGTCAACCGTGACATTGAGAAAAACATAAGTAGTCTAATTATGACCGTAAAAGCCCTTAATAGGATGACTCAATTTGATTAGAAACTCACACTAAAGATATGTTTGTTTGAGTGAAAAAAATTTCTGAGAATTAATTTTTCAAACTTTCACGCGTTTGGTATATTGAAAATGATTAGTCCATATAAAACCATTCACGGTCGATAGAAATTTTATCATACTTAAAATAAGGAAAATTAATGTTCTAATCTCTGAAAAGGGGAAAACATTTTTCTTGAAATAAATATTTCTTTCTCGAAACAAACACATCCAAACATAAAATTTAGGTTAATAAATTAGGGTTGGGCCTCTTCCTTAACAGAAAATAAAAACATAAAAAAGTTGAATGGATAGACTGTTTCAATGCATGTGAAATTATAAGAAGTAAAGTCATTGTGCAAATGATTCCATCCCCATGGACACCCGATCCTACTCTTGTAGCTAGCACAAACACATCCCTTGTTTTTTAAGAATATGTCTGGGTTTGTTGTGACCTTCGAATGCAACTGTTTTTTGGTGGAGAGAGATTCATAAGGAAAAGTAGATGAGATCCAACCTGATGGAATCTCACTTTTGTGTGGATGAGTATTGGATTTCCATCAACCTTTGGTGACTGACGTTATAGAGATGGGACTTAGCTATCAAACTAGCGAAACAATACACAGCACCAAGTGATAATCTCTACTGTAGTTTCATATAATCTTCAAGAGTAATGATGCGTTTGGCACAGCTTTGGTCAGAGATTTTGAGCTTCTAAATGCTTTTGTGCCGAAGTTGAGGTGTTTAGCGAGATAATTCCAAAGGGTTTTGAACAAAACTAGCATTTCAAAAATCTCTTAACCCAATTCACGTTCTACCCCGCATTGGCTTTGAGCATTTTCAAAATGCTACTTTATATTGCCCTCGCTAAATTATGTAAATTCCAATTTTACCTTCCCAGCTTTATTGTGCATATCTGACCAGCATCATGCGAAGTCGCCGGCACATATCTGGCTGACATCCTAGATTTGACGGTTTAGTGAGCCAAATCTGGCACTGACTGCTTGAGGCAAGGCCGTGCAACTTCAAGGTGGCGCTGGCGGAGGTTGCCTTTGCCTAGGATCGCAGAAACCAGAAGCCTAAGTTGGTTGGCCTGATCCGTGGCCCTTACGCGAGTCATCCAACCTCTCTTTCTCAAATTAATTTTTATTTTAAAACCGATTGGATATGAAAGTTTGTAGGAAAGTGTTACCAAATACTGTTTGCATCTTGTGAAAACCCTTTGGTCTAAAAGTCTAAGGACACTGGTTGTCACTCACTTGCTTTCGTAAAACAATGTCTTTATTGATGGACTTCTATCCAAAACATACAATTCATTCCTCCCAATTTCTCGTTTGAACTTTCGTTCAAAGTCGATAAAAAGTGCTGAAAAATCGCAAAAGAAAATGCTAGTAGCTTCATGCTTTAGAGTTATTAGACAAAAAGGGCAGGATATTCTGCTCCTAATTCCCCCTTTAAGCCTGCATATAAGGAAAGGTCTCCTTCATTTTTGCCTTTGTGACATTTACCTGTATGTATTAACATCAGGTAACATGTCACTAGCTAATTGTAAAAGAAACTGTGCTTTACTTGCCAAAAAAACCTTAAGCAAATATCTGAGGGAATCTCCTTTATGGGCAACAACCTAAGCAAACCTAAGCAAAACATGACAGGACCGCGATTTTAGTAGCTTCGCATTCCGACCTTTATGGGCTGAAGAAGAAAGAGAAACTTTTTATAGAAATCACGGCATGATATTCCCGCTTAAATAGCAAACTTCACTAGCTATAGTCCACCGATACATGTAGCACCGCCGGGTTTTTCCAACCACAGCAGATGATAACACTGGACGAACAGGCTGAAGATAGGGCACACCATTTCATCATGCATTCAGACACGCCCTTATGGTCTAATAACTATTCTAGGCTCCACGTTATTAGGTATCGAACATGTGGATGCCCGTAGACTTGTTACTGTTATTCGTTGCAGCTATTTAGATGTCACAACTAAGACACTTCACTTTGTGATGAAAATTTCGTGGCACGATTCTGTCCTCACAGATTAAACATGACCTTGATGGCTTTGCTGCCACGAGCGCTCGTCTCAAAGGCATCTTCAACTTCCTTCTGGGAGAACCCAAACCTGTGGGTTATGAGGGGCTTCACATCTATCTTGCCGCTCCTTAGAAACTCGAGGCAGAGAGGCCATGTGTTCTTGTATCGGAATATTCCAATCACATCAACCTCCCTGCAGTTCATCAAAGTATGCATGAATGAGCAAAGACATCAAATTTGTTCACTCCTAATTCTCAGATGCAATAGTGGAACACTTCTTAGACTAGTCTTCAACCATTACCACTTGTTATTTGACAACTACACTGCCACTATTTTGCCACACTATCTTTGGATCTATAGTTAGTTGGTAACAAGTACGTCCGTTGTAGCATAGCTAGGCAGTATAAAGCTCAGGCCCATATCTGGCTAGCCCTTGGCTAACATTGGCAGAGCACATTGCAGGGGCATTTGTAACATGGCAGGGGAAAAAATATACCTTGCAGCAGCGGGAGTTAGCGGGACAGTCATCTCGTTATGACCCATTCCCACGAGGCAAACTTTGCCGCCAGATCGAGTGGCATTCAATGCCGTTGACATAGTTTTATTAAAACCGGCACAGTCAAAGATCACGTCAATCTCTGTTGCCATTGCTTTTTGTATCAGCGCCACCTCTTCAGGTATGTCCTGCAGAAGGGCGAACTCAAGACAATGAACTTGAGAGCAAGTGAGAACTTCATTTTCTCAAGTTTGAGATATGAGCTTATAAGGGCTTATAGACTGCTAGATTGAACCATTCCGTCATGCCATTTTCTGATAAAAACGAGGAAAAGCAAACCAAAACCATGAAATGGCAATGAAAATAGAACAGCCAAAGAATTTCAACAACTTTTTCTCCACGAACAGTACTATGAATGCATGCTTCTAGGTTGTATTATAGCCGAAGAGAGACTAGTGTTGTTGAATGTCATTCTCCAATTTCTTCGGAAACAACTTGGCAGACTGAACAGTATAGGCAGATGAGCACCTCAACCAGTCACAAGTCACAACTAATACAAATTATGCAAAAGGCCCTGACATGCACATCCCAATCACTGGCTTCACCTTGTTAGTTCAATGAAAAACAACAAAATGACACTTAATTCAAATTTAATCTAGCACACCTTCATATCTGTAGAAACTTTCACGATATTATCTGCACCCAGATCCTTTGCAACTGATAAGCGGTGGTCATCAACATCCACAATGACAATTCTGGGTGCTCCAAAAGCACGGGCAGCTAGCATAGTAACAAGCCCTATAGGCCCTGCACCCATTACCAAAACATTTGTCTCTGGACCGACATTAGCTCGGCGACAAGCATGAACTCCAACACTCAGGGGCTCGCACATTGCCCCTTCCTCCAAGCTCACATTGTCTGGAAGCTTGAAACAAAGGTCTGCAGGATGCACCACCTGTCAATATAAAGAAAGGTACTCTCAAAACTGCCCAAGTTTCTAGATGCATCTCACCTTTTAACCATATATGTGACCGAATTTCAAGTAACTCTGTGGCTCCATGTATGATGCCAAGTTATGCCAAAGGATGTCCAAATGAAGTTTTTATCAATCTCCATTCATTATATGTTCGGATGTTCTTACAAAATATTGCTCAATAGCTACGTCATGACACAAAACAGTTACTATCAGAGAATAAGTCAAACAGCAGATAGTGAAACAATATTCTATTTTTTCACCTGATTGGCAAGAGAACCATGTACAGGAGGAGTGGCAAAGAACTTCATGTCAGGACAGAGATTGTATCGGCCTTCTTTACAATGATCACAACGCCAACAGCTGATCCCTGGCTCTAGCGCCACTCGATCACCCGGAACCAATGTCTTGACTTCACTCCCCACTTCTTCTATGATCCCTGCACACTCATGCCCGATCACCATAGGCTCTTTCACCACGAAATGCGCGCATCTTAGCGTCTGCAAGTCAAAGAAACAATCAAAAGAGAGCAAGTGTAAAGAATCTACTTATCGGCCAAGTGCAACTTGTGAGATGAGATTTTACTTAAGATGAAATCATGGGTACTGCTAACCAAGAAGAAAAAGCTTCCTCACTGCATTTCACAATCCATATGGTCCAACATATAAAAGAATACCTCAACGGAGTAGGATCAATCATTGTTTTTTTAACTAATGTACCAGTATCTAAAATGTCCTCTCTCATTGGATAGCCCTTTAAAAAATCAAATCTCCATCTGTTACTCATCAGAGTCATATCAGCGTGCCAACTTGTCCTTGTTCTTCCCTTCCCCAGCTTATTTTGCGCGATCCACATGAACGTAAGTGGCCATCCCGAGCCTTAGCCAATAGACGATCATTAACAGAAGGGGAAAAAAGCAATAAAGAAGACAGATTACAGTTATAAAACCATAACCTTCAGATAGTGAACGTCACTCCCACATATACCAACAGCCTTCATCCTGACTCTGACATCATGGGGGCCTATTTGCACATAAAAAAGCACATATTAATCCAAAATCCCGCACACGGGTCATCAAGAAATCGACCAAAAGGATGCACAGAGCACACAAAGATAACTATTAACACCCTCACAAGCGAAAAGGTGAATATTAACAACCCAAAAAAAACAAAGAAAGAGCATCAAAAGGAGATTGAGAGCTTATGACCAAGTGGAGGGAGAGTGAAGGGTTGAATCTTGAGGGTGTTGACAGCAACGAGCCAAGCAGCCATGTTCTCTTCTTCACCATTCTCGCGAGACATGCCTCCTTTGCCCATTTTTGCTACTTTTTTCTCTCAGAGCACTCTAAAGAGCCCGCTCTTTTCCTAGGAGCTGTGCCAAGTCAAAAAGCCTTGCGAGTCCGACACGAGCTGGAGGAGGGGGCACAGGGGGAGTGGGTGGAGGATAAGATATGAGAACGCGTTTTTATACCTCTGTTCAGGTCGAAAGTTCGGAACAGATGATTATCTCAAGTTGGGTTCGTTTGAATTTGACAGATTCTATCCGATCCAATCTCTGCTGCTTCAGCAGAATCCAGTCGTGGCCACTAGCTAATAGCCTAACATGAACGAGCAACCACAAAAACAAGAAAATTAGAGACTTCCACGTCGTTCATGACTCTGCTTCACAAATGACGAGGCCAATGACAGTTTGCCATAAAATAAAAATAACTTGAGCAATTGTTTTAGTTCATTTATCAAGAAATTAGTTTCTGTTTTCTTTTGCTCTTTTGTACTTTTACTTCACGCGACTTCAACATGGATTTTACTTTTAATCTTTAATTTTCTTAAGATTTTATCAATCTCCTTTTATTAGCGTGAATCATTGGAAGACCTTCCTACTCATTATCGGAATGCAAAATCACATATAATTTTGTTTTTTATAATTTTTGGGAAAATTAGTGAAGTCATTTTCTAAAAAAAAATAAAGGGTTCAAAATGGATATTATTTTAAATATAGGGTCGAAGTGGCGAAGCCTCTCTCATACAAGGGTTGAGTTTGCGAGCCAGCCAAATTGTCGCCGGTCTACCGAGCACTTAATTTTCTGGGCGGGTGGAATAGGGCATTTGTGTTGGACTGGCCTTGAGGGTGGAAGTTGAAGAGGGTTGTATCCTTGAAACTTGGGTTCTTCTTAGAAATGAAGATAAAAAGAGAGGGATTTCCTGTTGTGTATGGTGATTCCGATGGAAAGTGAAGAGGCATTGGAGGTGGAGGTGGAGGTGGAGGTGAGTGGCATGAAGGCATGTTTCATCACTTCCAAATTTTGTTTTGGACAAAAATGCCCCATTTTAGCAGCCAGAAATATCAAGTGCTCACTGGCTGGCGAAAATTTAGCCAACTGGTAAATTCAAAAACCAGCAAAGCAACATAATTTTACATGTAATGTGTCTGTAAATTTTCATACAGGCACGTGTTCCATCTCATAAAAAGTAGTTCGGATGCCTCTCGAGAATATCATGTGACGGTGTTTCTGAATTAGTAAAAGTGGCGGCAGATGCTAATCGAGATCGAGAGATTCTCTTGATTCTCATGTCCGATAAATTTAGTTATGTCATATTATTCAATCATCACTAAGCAGTGTAAGAAATCCAAAGAAAAAACAGGCGTTGACGGCTTGCATATAGACTGTAATAAAAATGATTAATACTATGAAAAACCTCAAACTTGTATATTTATGATAGATTTGCCCAAAACTAAAGTGACAAATTTACCATCAATTAATTTTCATTAAATTTTACTGTCGAATTATTGAGTTAAATGACATATAACAGTTAACGGATGTACTAATTTGAGATTTTACCCTTCGTTTGTCTCGGGTATACAAGTTTGTGGTTTTTTTTTGTATTAATCCAAATTAACGAAAAGCAAATTTATCACAAATGTACCAGTTTGGGATTTTTAGTGAGGATAAATTTATCACAGATATACCGATTTGGGATTTATATTGATCAAAAAATTAATTTTGGATAAATTTATCGTACCAGTTTGAGATTTTTCATGATATTAACCCTAATAAAAAAGTGACTAACCCACAACAAAAGCCTAACATCCCATGCACCGCAAGAAATCAAGAAGGCAACGTATTTGTAATATCATATCAATAAGATTAATGACCTAAAATTTAAAAAAACTAATCCACAAGCATGCTGGTGCATATCTTATATAACAGACCCCACACTCTCAGTTTGCCCAGAGCCACACACTGTCTACATCATTGCCAACTTCTGTTATTCAACTTTCCCAGATTGAGCAAGGCAAACCAAAGCAGATTCCTCGATATATCAATCCACACCTAAAGGTTGAAATCTATGGTTTACATGTCACAGCCAAGACACTTCACCGCGTGACGGAAATTTTCTTGGCGTGATTCCGTTCTCACAGATTAAACATGACCTTGATGGCGTTGCCGCCCCGAGCACTCGTCTCAAAGGCGTCTTCGACTCCCTTCTGGGAGAACTCAAATCTGTGGGTTATGAGGGGCTTCACATCTATCTTGCCACTTCTTAGAAACTCGAGGCAGAGAGGCCATGTGTTCTTGTACCGGAATATGCCAATCACATCAACCTCCCTGCAAGTCATCAACGTATGCGTGAATGAGCAAAGGTACCGAATTCGTTCCTTCTTCATATTCAGATGCAACAGTGGAACACTCTTCAAATATTAGCACTTGTCACTTAACGATTAAACAGCCACTATTTTGACACACTATCTTTGGATATATAGTTGATCAGTGACAAATCTGTCCGTCATAGCATAGTTAGGCAGTGAAAAGCTCTGGCTCATATCTGGCCAGCCCTCGGCTAACATTAGCAGAGCACATTGCAGTGGCATTTGTAACATAGCTGGGGGGAAAATATACGGGAGGGAAGAAAAAGTACCTTGCAGCAGCAGGAGTAAGCGGGACAGTCATGTGGTTATGACCCATTCCCACAAGGCAAACTTTGCCGCCAGACCGAGTGGCATTCAGTGCTGTTGACATAGTTTTGTCGAAACCGGCACAGTCAAAGCTCACGTCAATCTCTGTTCCCATTGCTTTTTGTATCAGTACCACCTCTTCAGGTATTTCCTGCAGAAGGGTGAACTCAAGACAATGAACTCGAGAGCAAGCAATAGCTTCATTTTCTCAAGTTTGAGATATAAGCTTATAAGGGCCTATAAGCCTGCTATTTCGCACCATTCTGCCACGCCATTCTCTAATAAAAACAAGGAAAAGGAAACCAAAACCATGAAATGGAAAATAGAACTGTCAAAGAAATTCAACAACTTATTCTCCACAACAAGTGCTACGGATGCGGGCTCCTTGGTTGTATTGTTGGGGAAGAGACACAAGTGTTGTTGACTGTTATAGTCCAATTTCTTCGCAAACAACTTGGCAGAGTGAACAGTATAGGCAGATGAGCAATCTTAACACCTCAACCAGTCACAACCAACACAAATTATGCAAAAGGCACTATAATGCACACCAAAATCACTGGCTTCAGCTTGTTAGTTCAATTGAAAACAACAAAATGATGCTTACTTCAAATTTGGTCTAGCATACCTTCCTATCTGTAGAAACTTTCACGATGTCATCTGCACCCAGATCCTTTGCAACTGATAAGCGGTGGTCATCAACATCCACAATGACAATTCTGGGTGCTCCAAAAGCACGGGCAGCTAACATTGTGACAAGCCCTATAGGTCCTGCACCCATTACCAAAATGTTTGTCTCTGAACTGACATTAGCTCTGCGACAAGCATGAACTCCAACGCTCAGGGGCTCGCACATTGCCCCTTCCTCCAAACTCACATTGTCTGGAAGCTTAAAACAAAGGTCTGCGGGATGCACCACCTGCCAATAGAGAGAAAGGTACTTTCAACACTGCCCAAGTTTCTTCATGCATCTAACCTTTGAACAATTTATGCGACCCAATTTCAAATAGCTGTGCAACTCCATCCGTATATACCAAATGATGTCCAAATGAAGTATTTATCAATCCCCATGCCTTAATGTTAGCAAAATAGTACAGGATCCAGATTTTTAGTCATTCTCCCATCCCTTCCGGTCCTTCCAAACCAACTTCAAGATACAGAACAACAACAACCTAAGCCTTGTCAAGATGTTCTACAAAAATTTCGCTCAATAGCTATGTCATGACACAGAACAGTTACTAACAGAGCATATGTCAAACAGCATATAGTGAAACAATACTTAATTTTTTTCACCTGATTGGCAAGAGAACCATGTACAGGAGGAGTGGCAAAGAACTTCATGTCAGGACAGAGATTGTATCGGCCTTCTTTACAATGATCACAACGCCAACAGCTGATCCCTGGCTCTAGGGCCACTCGATCACCCAGAACCAATGTCTTGACTTCACTCCCCACTTCTTCTATGATCCCTGCACACTCATGCCCGATCACCATAGGCTCTTCCACCACGAAATGCGCGCATCTTAGCGTCTGCAAGTCGAATAAACAATCAAAAGAGAGCAAGTGTAAAAGAATATACTTATTAGCCAAGTACAACTTGTGAGATGAGATTTTACTTAAGATGAAACCATGGGTATTGCTAACCAAGAAGAAAAATCTTCATCACTGCATTTCACAATCCATATGGTCCAACATATAAAGGAATCTCTTAACCGAGCTGGATCAATCATTCTTTTTTTAACTAATGTACCAGTATCAAAAATGTCCTCTCTCATTGAGGAGCCCTTTAAATCAAATTCCCATCTGTTACTCATCAAAGTCAGATCAGCGTGCCAACTAGTCCTTTTTCTTCCCTTCCCCAGCTTATTTTGCGCGATCCACATGAAAGTAAGCCATCATCCCGAGCTTTAGCCAATAGACTGTCATTAACAGAAGGGGAAGAAAGCAATACAGAAGACAGTTATAAAACCATAACCTTCAGATAGTGAACGTCGCTCCCACATATACCAACAGCCTTCATCCTGACTCTGACATCATGGGGGCCTATTTGCACGTATAAAGCACAGATTAATCCAAAATGCCGCACACGGGTCATCAAGAAACAGACAAAAAGGATGCACAGAACATACAAAAGGAAACTGGAAACTCCAAAGGGAAAAAGAAAAGAAAAGAAAAGAACATCAAAAGAGATTAAGCGCTTATGACCAAGTGGAGGGAGAGTGAAAGGTTGAATCTTCAGGGTGTTGACACCAACGAGCCAAGCAGCCATGTTCTCTCCATCGCCATTCTCGCGAGACATGCCTCCTTTGCCCATATTTGCCACTTTTTCTCTCAGGGCACTCCAAAAGCTCACTTGAGTGTCAAGCCAAAGCCTTGTGATTCTGCGATGAACTGGGAACGAAGGAGGAGGGATAAAGGGGAGCGGGTGGAGGATGAGAATAAAGGGTAGGACTTTAAGCCTCCGTTCGAGTCGAAAAGGCAACGACTTTCAAGCGGAGGATCTTCTGAATTTGGCAGATTCGATCCTACCCAGACCCTGCTGGCTTCAGAATCAGAATCCAGTCATTGGCATTAGCGAACACGAACAAGCGACCTCAATAAAGAAAGAGTAAAAAACCAGAAAGTTGGAGGCTTTCCACGTCGTTCGCGACTCTGCTTCGCAAGTGGCAAGGCAATTTGCCATAAAATATAAATAACTTGAGCAATTTTTTTTACATCATTTATCAAGAAATTAGTTTCTTTTATCTTTAATTTATAGTTTCTCAATAGTCAAGATAACTCTTGTTGTGCCAGATACGTGGGCAGATGGATGGATAAGTCGCATAGGAGGTGAGTCATCTGTCATCTAGTGATCTGGTCTTTATCATCGGACTCATGGGTTGACGTTGGACTGACTGCGACACTTCCATGGACAGTGAACCCCAGAACCTCCATTTTTCATGCTAGCATCATCTCTCTCTCTCTCTCTCAGGTCGGTGATCATCATGGAGACACAGACCAAAGCAAACGAAGAAGAAGAGACCAACATGGCTGCTTGGCTTCTGGGTGTCAAGAACCTCAAAATTCAACCCTACCATCTCCCTCCTCTTGGTTGGTTCTCATCTCTTGCGTTTGCTGTTGAGTCTTTAACTCAATTCAAATTACGATTCAGAAGTTGAAGCAACCCCCACCCCACAAGCCACGACCAATTAAGGTCTACAATTGTGCTGAATTAAAAATTCTTGCCTTGCTCAAAGTGGGTAGGAACCCCTCTATTTATCTGACTTTTATGCGGTGATCATCCTCCACTTTTCCTGTGGTGCTTTAATTGATGCTTCTTGCTGGATTTGGACTCCCAGAGAGTGATCTCATGGCTCGTGCTCTTTTATAATTTCCCCTTTTGTGCCTTCAAGCAAGATCGATAGTCCTTTTTTATGAGAGGATGTTGATGAAAGCATGAATAGAATCTTTTTGTGGTAAATTATAGATCTGCCACAGAAACAGAACGTGTCTAATTGAGCTTTCCTATGACAATGGCTACTTATGCTGTCACGGAATATTAGCATGAGCTCCTAAAAGTTGTGCTCGTTGAATTGAGCAAATGCATGAATTTAGCTTTGCTTTCTGATAATTAGGTTACTTACCTTTTTTTGAACAAGATTCTATTTGCTCCCCACTCTATTTGATGTTTAAACTGTGATGGAAAATGTGTATATGCTTTGTTGTGCTCTGCTCACCCTCTATTTACAATTTCAGGTCCTCACGATGTTAAGGTCCGGGTAAAAGCTCTTGGTATCTGTGGAAGCGATGTTCATCACTTCAAGGTAGAAGACTCTACTCATACCTTATTCTTCGGGTTTTGACCTGCAACCGCAAAAACCCTTTGGTGACCTTATTCCTGCTTCTTGTTGTATATCCTTGTTACAGACAATGCGGTGTGCAAACTTCATTGTCAAGAAGCCAATGGTAATAGGCCACGAGTGTGCTGGGATCATAGAAGAAGTTGGGACTGAGGTGAAGTCTCTGGTTGTAGGCGACCGTGTAGCCTTGGAGCCCGGAATCAGTTGCGGTCAATGCCGTCACTGCAAAGATGGCCGCTACAATCTTTGCCCGGAAATGAAATTCTTCGGATCTCCGCCAACTAATGGTTCTCTTGCCAATAAGGTATGCTTGCTGACATTTGGGTTTTTCAGGCTTTTATAGCCAAATAGTGCCCTTGCTTGACCGATTAAAATCTATATAAGCCTTTATCAGTATTGAGGTTTACATGAATGTAATGGCTTGATTGAACGTATAATAATTGTTTTAACATTTCTTTCCTCATATATTAGACATGTTTCTGGCTGTGTTATTTTGTTCTTGCATCTAAGGACAGGTACAGTGCATAGATTATTAATTCCCATTCCAGCTATATTTACACTACATCAATATGCCTAGAGTATTGTGCTGCCAACGCTGCTCTTACTCTTGAACAAATCTTAAGTTTCTTGGGTAAAAGTTAATACGGCCTTATGTTTCTTTGCTATTCTGGGGACTCAAATTACAGTTTAGGCTTCTGTAGAACTCCCTATTTCGAGTTCCTTGAACTTTTCAGATTGTTCGCGTTGGTAGAGAGCGTTTTGCTTGCTAACAAAGAAATGAAGTGAACATAGTTGATGAAAACACTTCTTTTTCCCTGTCTAATTGTTTGGGAGTAGGTGGTGCATCCCGCACATCTGTGTTACAAGCTACCGGAAAATGTGAGCTTGGAGGAAGGGGCAATGTGCGAGCCCCTCAGTGTTGGTGTCCACGCTTGTCGCCGAGCAAATATCAATCCTGAGACCAACATACTCATAATGGGATCAGGGCCGATAGGCCTCGTTACCTTATTAGCAGCTCGTGCTTTTGGAGCTCCGAGAATCGTCATCGCTGATGTAGATGAGCACAGATTGTTGATTGCGAAAATGCTTGGCGCTGATGAGGCGGTTCAAGTCTCAACAGATGTAAAGGTGATAGCATAATTTTCAAGTTTTGTACTTTTGTATACTAAAGAACATAATCATTCTAGAGACTTGGCCCACTGCGCAGCCTAATTGGGAGTGCCCTCGATTTTCTTCAAGTGAAAAAACATTCTGCTGTATATTCAACGTATGTTCAAGTTCTTCAGGTTCATCTTGAGTGACTTAATCTGAAACATTACAGCTCGTGGATGAAGAAGTGGCACGCATTCAAAATGCAATGGGCTGCAACATCGACGTGAGCTTCGATTGTGTTGGCTATGACAAAACAATGACCACAGCTTTGAATGCGACTCGTGCTGGTGGCAAAGTGTGCCTTATCGGATTAGCCTTGAGCAAGATGACAGTTCCTCTTACTCCTGCAGCAGCGAGGTAATTGCATAGCTTGATTTGATGTTTCAAGGACGATGCAAATGACATTAATGCAAATGTTATCCCTCTGCCTCTGTGATTTGTCTACAAGCAAGCACGATTCCATTCATTTTGCATTTGTTCACTCGCGCATAGCTTCTTCTTGAATGTTATGACTAGTTGAGTTTCTTCTCTTTGGCAGGGAGACTGATGTAATAGGCATATTTCGGTATAGAAACACATACCCTCTCTGCATCGATTTCTTACGGACCGGCAAGATCGACGTGAAGCCTTTGATAACCCACCGCTTCGGATTCTCGCAGGAGGAGATTGAACAAGCCTTTGAGACCAGCGCTCGCGGCGGCAACGCCATTAAAGTCATGTTTAACCTGTAGGAAGTCATGTTTAGTACCGTTGGATAAATCTGAACATGGTTATGTTGTCAAAGAAGGCCAAGGCCCTCATCCAAAACTTGCTCATCAGAGATTGCGAAGTACAATTTTAGGCCCAACATAGCTTGAAAATGATATTTGAGGAAGATGACATTTGCTTGACCAAGCATTTGATTGATACATTCCAACTTGCAAGGCCTCAGGAACGTTGATTAAGTCAAAACCAGAGTGAAACATTGACACTGACACGAAGTGGTGACTTTGTCGCTTTACTGGAGAGAAAACTAATGGAGAACAAAGGTGTATTATGCTCTCACTAATTCTAAAGTTAAAGCACTAAATTCTTTGCTCTGGAGATTATGGTTTGAGATTAATAATATGATGTGAAAGTGCATGATTATTTAAAACGTTTTGTTCGGTTGGCCGAATATCTAGATGAAGGCAACAAATGTGCTCACTCCCAATAGCAAAAGTTCTTGGTCCTGAGCAATATCTCAAAAGGCTCCCCAAACAATACCCCACATAGTCGAGTTTGGCAGGGTTAGCCCCCACTTTAGGGGTGTCAGGCGACCTTAAACTGACTTGGGTATAGGCAGGTCCCACGCCAAGAAAAACATTGTGGCTAGGTTTATACCCGTAAGACTTCCATATAAGTTCTCTCCATATTCCCTCTATCCTGAGAAGACAAAGATTGGAAGGGAACTAAGAGGCATTTTGGTTAGAGAAGGTAAACTCCATATCAGCTTTGGCTAACTATCTCGGGGTAGACAGGTATAGTTGTCACGCCCCGAACCCCATCGAGCTCGCGACATCCCCTGCTCCGGTCGAAATGATGCGACGTCCCAGGAACGTCGCCGACCCAACCCAAACATCGTGAGCCACATGCGGAAGCGAATAATAAAACCCCGGACAAATAATGACGACAACGGGTAGAACAAATGAAATGTACAAACAACAACATATTTATACAACACCAAATATACAAACATTGTATTACAAACATATACAGCAAATCAAGCATCCGAAGTCACCGTCATATCGAAATATCAGGCCCTGCGTTATCTTAACTTCACTACTGGTCAAACTAATCTTAACAACTCCTTATAATACCCTAGGAAAAACCTAGGGCTCATCCTCCTTTCTTCATGCTCCTACTTCGCCTGGTTCGATCCTCCGGAAGACTTCTTAGGCATCGCCTGCAACTTCACTGGGCAACCTGGGCACCCCATAATTAAGCATCACATCACGCGATACAAACACACTCGCACGCTACTCACACCATGCGTCACTTTCCACAATCCTCTCGCTTGTCTTGCCAAATCCCACTCATTCTCAACCTTTCCACCACTACCGCGCCCGCGTAAAACGCATCGCCAATGGTCTTCGACTCGTCGCATCGCATCACTCCCGTCGGGCCGGCATCGTCACCTCGTCGGGACGGCATCATCCCGCGTAAACGTACACGCTCGGGATGGAATCCTACACACACTTTCCTTCTACCGCGCCCGCGTAAACGCATCAGGCCAACGGTCTTCTTACCACGTCGGCATCGACACCCTCGGGTCTAGGGCATCGTCACCTCGTTAGGGACGGCATCGTCCCGCGTAAACGTACACGCCTCGGACGGATCCTTTCCAACCAATCTCACATTTCCGTACCCTCGTTCCACTCAAACCACACTTACACACAATCGCACACGCACGGCCAAACATATACGCCTCACACATACATAGCCATGCACCAAATTCACATCTCACGTACACTTCACAAACACGCATTCTCATCACACGAACACCACATGATCACCCACACTCGGCACACGAACTCAATGCACATTCACATGTCCACGCCACCACACCTCACAACCACACACACGGCATAGCACCACATCACATTCGGCCCAAGCACAAACTAGAACAAGCCAATGATCGCAAACTACACAATTAATCCGATAAACCCAATCAAGCCAATACATTTCCAATTAATCACCCATTTAATTCCCGATCGATCCTCGACATCACAGCCCTAACTTAGCATTCCTAAACCTCGAATTTCGTCGTCGTCCAATCAGCCCACAACCTCCAAACATTCAACCCCTAACTTAGTCCCGAAGATCCACCAGAAACGCCACAAACAAATTCCTAAAATCACTTAAACCGAACTTCAAACGAGTCTAGAAATACCCCGAGGTCCTAAATGACATTTGGGGAAAACACTTACCCAAAAAGGCGAGACAGAATGGGGCCGGAACGGGTCGGGACAGCAAGAAAGAATAGGCGGCGATGTACGGACGGCGTGAAAAAGTGTTCCGTACGGACAGCGTGAATGCGCACCGTACGGACACCGTACGGATCGCGCGGACGGCGACGTACGGCGAGGCCTGGACGGCCGGTGTCGACGGACAGTGATCGAGCTCCTGGTCTCGGCAGTGCATCTTGTTTTGCGGGAAAGAGAAAAAGAGAGAAACAAGGCTGTTTTTTGACAAAAACCGGATCGTGGTGGGCCGAACAGTGAGAGGGAGGTCCAAGGGTGCGTGAGAAACGTAATCTGCAGAAATGGAAACGGGAAAAGAGAGAAAATTTTGGGGGAAAAATGGCTGAATGGTCTTCCACGAGAGAGAGATGGTCTGGTCAAATGGGTCAAAGATGGTGTGAGTGGAATCCATGTGTCTCAATCTAAGCCCATTGGACAATTTTGCCCTTGATCCAATGGCTTTCTTTCCTTCTCATCCAATAATTTAGGGGTAGAATGGTCATTTGCTCTTAACCATGGTTGACCAGACCTGAGTTAAGCCTAACTCACCTTGGTTAATCCTAAAATTAATCCAAATTTCGGAATTAATTAAAAATGGCCTAGGGGTATTTTCGTAATTTTCCGATCCCGAACCGAAATTCCAATTTTTGCACATACGCGTTCCATATATGCGTGGCCAACATAATATGGCGTCGGAATCGCGAAATTCATCGCGCAAGCCCTCGAAAATCCACGTCAAAGTCTCGGGAATAAAATAATATTATTTTTCCAATTTTTGTCGAAATTCCAATTTTTGGCCAAAACCACTGAATGTGCGTGGCCACCCCAAAATGACCTTGGCCGCGAAAAATAACCTCAAACGGCCTCCGAATCCGGCCTCCCACGGGGGCAAAACCGTAATTTTCCTGCCCGGATCGAAATCCATTTTTTTGCGAAATGGGTGGCCCCAAGGTTGGCCAAGCCAAAACGTCATCGGCCGTCCAAAATTGTCACTTTCAAAATTCTCGATTCCCGGGCCCGAATTCCAAGAAATGACTAAAATCGAGCAATCGCAACTTTAGCTTATCTCTGGCTAACGGGTGGCTCATTGGGATTACGCGCTCTCGACCCATGATCGACACTAAGTCAAATCACGTTTAAGTTTGCTCGAACCAAGACGACCTCGATTGTCATATAATTGCAAGGTCTGTCACTAGTGCCCTTTGGACACGATCAATCAAGTAGACCGGTCTCGGTTGGCTCAAAACATTCCCTCGTCAATCCATATGGTCGAAGATCGAAGCCAAGTCGAGTTCTTTGGTTGTGCGAACTCAATCCCGTAACGGCCCTACCCCTAAGGTTAGCATCCCGAGAATGCGCGGTTCCCGGGTGAGATCTCACTATAGCGCATTGGTCAAATTAATTTCTTAAATCCCGGGAAAAGGATCGAAAATTCAGACTGTTACAATAGTAGCCTCCGCGCCTAGAGTGACAGGAGAGTGACTTCAGTTCCTGTTGGGTTGCACAGTGCTTAATTAACCGGCTTGCTAGCCCAGTATCCCTGGTTAATTAAGCAATGTGTGAATTAATAAAATATTTAGATAAATAAATAATTAAGGCTCATCAAAAGTTAGGCAAAATGATACTATTAGTGCCATAACTTATGTACGGAGATCACTTTGGTGCCATAACTTTTTTTCGGATCACTTTGGTGCCAACTTTTTTGAAAACGATCACTTTAGTGTCAATGCCGACATGGCTTGCCGAAAATCCTATGTGGCGTTGACATGGCTCACCGGAGAGGTCCAGGTGGAATCAAGCATTAAAAACCAAAAAGGACGCCTGTTTAGTCACGACGTGTACTTTTTTAGAAAAATAAAATTTATATTATATTTATTTATATTTAAAAAAAAAAACATCAAACATTGCAGCAGCGGCGCTGCTGCCACCCCACCACCGCTGGGAAGGGCCGACGGTGGTGAGCGGAGTGGTCGACGAGGGTCGCCGGCCCCTGGTCTGGGCTCGGCGACCCTCGCCGAGAGGAAGCGATCGCCTTTGCTGGCGATGCGAGACCTCGCCGTTGCGACCCAGGCAATGGCAAGGTCGGCCTTGCCAGATCTGGCGAAGCTCGCCCTGCCGGCCACAAGCGAGGCCGACCTCGCCCAGCCAGGGGCCGGTGAGGAGCCCTCGCCGGTGGCCGGCGGGGTGAGCTTCTCTAGAGACCGGCGAGGTCGGCCTCGCCAACCCTCCCCTTTGGTCGGTCGCCGGAACGGCGACCGGGAAAAAGTTAGGAAAAAAAAAGATTAAAAAATTCGAAAAAAGCCACATAATTTCCACGTGTACAAGTCAGACCATTTTTTTTTAAATATAAATGCCACATCAGCTTTTTGGCCGAAGTCACTAAGGGCGTGAATGGTAACCATTCTGCACTAGAAATCAAATTCTTGCCAGAAATTGATTTCCAGAATTCTTGCCAGAAATTAATTTTTGGAGGAGAAATCTGTTTGATAAAACATGACTAATTCTGCTCCAGAAATTGATTTCCGGAACAGAAATCTATTTTGATTTGTTGATTTTTTTTTGCACCTAAAAAAATTTAAATTTCACTCAAAGTGGGTGGTCACAAGTATTTTAAGTCATTCTGTGAAGTTTTAAAATTTTTTATTTTTTTATTTTATTGGGCACCTAAAAAAAAATTTCACTCAAAGTGGGTGCCCAAAAGTATTCTAAGCCATTTTGTGAAGTTTTGAAATTTTTTATTTTTTGATTTTTTTGGGCACCTCAAAAAATTAAATTTCACTCAAAGTAGGTGCCCAAAGGTATTCTAAACCATTTTGTGAAGTTTTGAAATTTTTTATTTTTTGATTTTTTTGGGCACCTCAAAAAAATTAAATTTCACTCAAAGTGGGTGCCCAAAGGTATTCTAAGCCATTCTGTGAAGTTTTGAAATTTTGATTTTTTTATATTTTTTGAAAAAAATTCACCAAATTTCCTATTTTCTGGAAATCTGACTTTTTTTTATTTTTTGGAAATTTTTATGAATTTTTCTGGAATTTTTCAATTTTTACGCATTTTCTGAAAAAAAAATTAATGAGATCTCAAAATGTGTTGTAAAGGCCATGAAAAAGAGAGAAAATAGGGAGAATGCATTCTAGAAGAGAAAAGCTACAAAAAGTAGTTTCTCTTTTTTTTGCCCAAAACTCATTCTGGAATCAAAAATGCATTCTGGAATCAAGTATTTTTAACAAACACATTTTTATTCCAGAATGCAAAAATTGCTCCAGAATGCATTCCGGAAATTTTTTAACAAACACATTTCTGTTCCGGAATGCATTCTGGAGCAAAATTTCTACTCCAGAATGGATTCCATGCGCGCCCTAAAGTGGTCTATTTTCCTCCGATTTGGCACCAAAGTAATTCGAAAAAAAGTTATGGCACCAAAGTGATCTCTGTACACAACTTATGGCACTTCTGATGTCCTTTTGCCTCAGAAGTTGACTTACGATACCCTTCTCTTAAGTCATAACAGGGTCTAGCACAATAGCTATGGGGCTCCAAACTAAATTTGGTCGGCCAATGCTTCGGCCTTAATTACAGTTGCACTTGAGAATTTTTCATTCGTTCATCTTTCGTCAAAACGAAACAAAAATGTCAAAAGAGGAAGAGGCCGCACTTGACCAATCGTTCGACTTTATGAAATAAGAAGCTAGGGTGAAACTTTCAAATATTAGAGATCTAAAGTGTCGTTACTCTATTCTTATTTATATGGGACAACAAGGTGGCTTAGTAAATAGTAACCGCTTGGTCCTCAGAGTTTATTAAGCGTACCAAAAGAAATGCCTTTTAAAAGACTAAACCAAGAAGGTTGTGAGATTTGAAAACCAAGAAGGTTGTGAGATTTGAAAGGGTTTTAGGCTTTGTTTGTTTCGCGAAAAATATGGCATTTTTAGAAAATGTTTTTAGGGAAATTATTTTTCAGGAAAATGACAATATTTTTCGATGTTTGGCTGAAATCTGAAAAATAAATTGAAAAATATTGTCTGTCGTTTGATAATGAATATTAAATATTTGAGCGCCAGTAACTTGCGCATGAACAACCAAGGAACCGAGTATCGGCCCCAAAGTCTCGGGTTTGGCCTTGATGGACCTCGACCCAGGTGCTGGGGACCAAAGGACGGGCTCTAAGGTCATGATCCTCACCTCGATGGATTTGGGCGCGGGTGTTGAGGACCCAAGCTCGGACTCGATGGACCTGGGCGTGGGCGCCAGGGTCTCGAGCCTAGCCTTGATTGACCCAGGCGGGCACTAACGTCCATGACCCAACCTCAATGGACTCAGACTTAAGCCCAAGCGCTAGGGACTTGGGCATGGGCGCAGGGGTCCCGAGCCCAACCTTGATGGACATAGGCACGAGCATCAAGGACCTGTGCTCGGCCTCGATAGAACTAGCCAAGGCGCCAAGGTCCCGGGCGTGGCCTCAATGGACATGGGCCTAGGAACTGGGAACCCAGGCATTGGCACCAAGGTCATGGTCCCGAGCATGGGGTCTCGAGCCCGAGCATTTGTGGACCTGAGCCTAGCCTTTGTGGACCCAACTCGAGGCATTGGGGAGTCAAGCAACGGTTCCGGAGTCCTAGGCCCAGCCACAAATGCTGGTGTCCCGAGCCCAATCTCTATGGATTCGGGCCCGGGCATCAGGGTTCTGGGCCCGGTCTCTTTGGACTTGAGCTTGACCTTGATGGACCCTGGTAGACCCAGCCCTGCCTCGAGGCCGCTGTTAGGGGCTCGAGAAGAAGTGTTGGGATTCTCATGCCAAAACGTAGAGTTTATGGTCCAAGCATTGATACCTAATCATATTTTAGAAAATAATTTTCGATTTTTTTTTATAGATGAAATCATTTTCTTGAATATAAGCACAGATTTTCCATTGATTAGGAAAATATTTTCCGTTAACTCATTTTCTTAAGTGATCTAAACGCCGGAATGAAGAAAAGGTTTTCCCGGAAAATATTTGTTGCGAAATAAACAAGGCCTGAAGTTACATTTCTTTCCTAATATTTCATGCCGATAATTGTGTAGAACAAAGATCGACACGTCTCCGAAAAGAGCAACACAATTTTTACTTGTAGTGTATCCGTAAAATCTTATACAAACACAAGTTCTATTTTATAAAAAGTTGTTCGGACGCCTTTCGTGAATATCACGTGACAGTATTCCTAAATTAATAACAGCGGCGACAAAGGCTAACGGAGGCCATAGCTCTAGGCCGCCGGATTGTCTTTGTGGCTTTTTACGTATAATGACTTTAATTATGTCATCTTATTCTCTCATCACTTGGTGGTGAAGCCCAAAAAAGAAGAGCTTTGACTGGCTTGCGTATAAACTACAATCAAAAAGTGATTAACCCCCAACGAAAGCCGATTAACATCCCATGCACCGCAAGAAACCAAGAAACCAACGGACTTGAAGAATCTTATCAATACGATTAATGACCAAAAATTAACAAAAACTAATCCCCAAGCATGCTGGTGCTAATGAGTTATAATTAGGACGTATCTTTAGTAAGAAACCCTATTCTCTCTTTTTACCTAGAGCCACAATGTGTCTACATCATTGCCAACTTCTACAATTCAGCTTTCCCAGATCAAGTCTGTCAATCCCAGCAGATTCCTCGATATATAAATCCACACCTAAAAGCCGAAACCTATAATTAACCAAGATATGGAAATCGTCCGTCCATTTAATTTCTCTAACTAGGTTAGAAGGAGAGGCCAACCACAAGCATCCAAGACCACCCAATTTGTCATATACGATTAAAAGAATGTTTTATAACGGCAGTATAATGTGTCGTTTCTAGCGTGGTGTGATAGAAACAGATTAAAGTACTAATCGGGGCCGTACTAATCAACAACATGTGTGGTTTGGTTCATACGCCAATTCCCTTGGACCTCGTCTAAGCTCTCCTCCGAGGGCAGGCCTCATGACCATTTCAACGATAACCCTCGAAAGCCTCTGCCGTCTCCGACCAGTCCGACTTACTTTCATATTCTCCTCCCTCTCAACGTCCAATGAAGATGTCCAAACTATAAGAAGCCTCGGACACCGACCGCACCTCCTCGCAAGAAGAGACGTGCCAATCGCTTTTTCCAAGTTGTGGACGGAGAAAATGATGTCCTTTTGGACTTCCACCGAGAGAGTTGCGAACCCCTTATCTCGTTCAGTGGAAGACTTGGTCAGATGGTCCCTCATTGGCCGATTTTCCGTGGCACGCGTAGAGCAATGCAAAAGTCCAAGGTCTCCCCAAGGGAGCTAGTGAAGTAGAAAGGCTCGATCTTCTGGGTCCCCTCTTCCATTGATTCTCGTCTTGGCACAAGGTTGAATGTCGACAGGAGAGAGTTCGAATTAAACAAAGGGCTACCCCCCACGAAAGACGTTCGTGGGGGACACGTACGTTGGTTAGTTTAGATATAGTTGGTAGTTGGGTCACTGCTCACCTGGGTTAGAGCTTGGTCTTAGCTTGATCAAATTTGGGATTTTGCAGGTCCTTCTTGAATCGTCTTGTAACAGTTAGCTAGCCATCTATAAGGAAGAAAGAACGATGATTTCTTCCTCTTGCTGGTTTGGACAACTTCATAGAACGATCGAACTCGTCGATGGACCCCTCGTCTGTCTTTGGTGTCCCTCTAATTTGCCTCCAAGAGGGAGTCTCAAACAAGAATTTATGACTCTTCAGTTGGCTATGATTCGTTTGCCACGATGCTCTTAGAGTATTAATACCGAGTTAATTAAAAGGGTACAAAAAACCACCTTAGAAGGTCCTCATGGCCCCCACTAACTCACGTCCAATCCTACTCGTTGATTGGCTGATATTGTTATTATAATCGGTAAAAATCATAGCTCGGACTGCCGAAAGAAGGCCAATCAGACTTGGAATGACGTAATTATAAAGAAGGCTTGTCTATGTACTTCTCGAAGGTAGACCAACACTGCCGTATAATAACCACAGAAAATATTATTATTCATATGATATGTGATTTTTTTTATATATTATGGGTCTAAGTCCTGCTCGAAAACATCACTTTTTGGACGGAGGAATTCGGAAGCTGTCCTCAAAAGTTGCTCACCTAACCAAAGCCAGAGATAGGATGGGGACGAGTTCTTCCGCTTAACTTAATTTGGGGGTTCGAGAGAAGCCACCTGCCCCGCCAATCAAAGCAACCCACGTGGCTAGATTCACTCCATCGATGCCTAAGCAGATTTCAAATTTGGAACCTTGAAGGTTGGTATTTTTTTTCTAAGTTTGGTCTTTCAAATATTTTTGCGAAGAATAGAACTTCCTCGTTTTTCAATATCCCGACATCATTTGCACAAAATTCAAACGACCCACAATTCATCCCACTTGTGAAGCCACAAAACAACAAATTCAAGCGCAAAACCTCTACCATTATTAGAATAAAAATAAAAATATAATCAAACACTCGCTCGCGCCTATATATATATATATTGTGCTTAAACAACAAATTTAAGCACAAAATAACGTTGCCGTGCCGTTAAGGCCAACATCCCCACCCAACACATACGGCCGCACTCGGTAGACTTTTCTCACACACACTCAAAGAAACAAGAACGAATAAATACAAAATAAAGAAACACGTAGCATCAAATATCATCAAACACTCGCATATATATATAACCATGCCCACTTCCCTAAATCCTATCTAAACGAAAAGCTAAACAATACCAAAGCAAACACCGTATATTCCCTTCTTTTTCCATATCAAAACCCCAACTCAAGTCTCCCTCTCTCTCCTTCCTTCCTCACACGACTATGGCTCCTTCTCCTTCTCCTTCTCCTTCTTCCTCCTCAAACAAGAACACCCTTAGAGCCACCATAGCGTTAGCCGACGCCGCCTCATCCTTGTGCGCTATCTTCCTCATAACCCTAATCTTGGTGGCTTCGAATAGAGAGAGCAACGACGCCAATAGAATAGTAACCGGCGGCGATCACGACGATCGATCGTATAGCCTCAGGGGCAATCAGCTCCTGGACCGGCCGTGCGACGAGATATATGTGGTCGGCGACGGAGAGACCCTCCACACCATCAGCGACAAGTGCGGCGACCCGTACATCGTCGAGCGGAACCCGCATATCCACGACCCGGACGACGTCTTCCCGGGCTTGGTCATCAAGATAACCCCCACCAAGAAGACGAGGAAGCTCTTGATGAGTTGACAGAGCGAGAGGGACGTGCATGGTGTCCTCAAACAGAGCCAGAGTAGCTGTTTCTCTTCTTGAATTTTGTGGTTTTAATTAGCTTTTCTCTCCTTTTTTGTGTGTTTTTTTCCTTACACACGCGATGCTGAAACGCATATGAGAGGTTGTAGCTTGAAAGGGTAGGATTTGATCATTTTCTGGGGAAAAAAATGTAGAGAAGCTCCATGATATGTGTACATAAAAGTATATAGTTGTGCTGTAATAATTCACCAACAGGGACTGTTACACCTATTTGAATGATGAGACGCGTATACATCTGATGATGAGCTTGCTAGTTCATGTTCTTGATCGTCCTCCCCTTTAAGCGTTTCTCCTTTTGTCAGACTAATTTCTTGAGGAACCGTCAGAAGGATGCTCCGGAGCTGGATGCTTCAACCTGCTGATTATGCCAATTATGTAATTAACTATGGTGTAAATGTTCGTCTAACGTGTGCGACATGTCTAAACTATCTTGGATCAACATATAATAATCATAATCATGTAAAGTCTTAGGTTTCTCTTTTACTCAAGCGAGTGATCTTTTAGCGAAGCAAGAAAACGACCATATTTGTATGTTTCTGTTTAACGCCTACGAACCGCTGGTTCGTTGGGATGTCTCCGTAGCACCCAAATCATGGTTTTGGGCTAGTGTTTCCCTTTCTTACACGGCGAACGATATGGTACAAAAACACAACCAAAAGTATTGTTGCAGTTCAACAATTGAGGACTTAAAGATTTTAAGAAAACCCTCGATTAGGTCTTGAATTGGTTGTCAGTTATCAGTGCAATTCCGGTGTTGAGAACGACACATGGCAAATGAACGAATACTTCGCGGGGAGCCCTCCTCGGATAGCCGACGCGTGAATTCCACGTTGGGATTTATTGGGATTTTGTATAATCTCGAGCTCTCGGTTATTCAAAATAAAGCCTTAAATTCCCAATTAGCCAACGGCCAAAATTTTAAGCCATGTCTCTGCACTCACCCCCTATGGATGAGAAAATGAGGGTCGTAATAACTAAGTTGTTTTTCTAGTGAAGAAAGGTTCTAACCACGAAATTCTCGGGACTAAAAGGAGTTTATCGGATAAAGTTTCTTTAAGATGGTTTTTTGGATGAAATAGGATCTTTTTCCCACTAAATAAAAAAGAAACACCCTGACTAGGTTTTCTCGATCATGCCAATTCTTTTGGCTCGATCGATGGTATTGTGCTATTTGCAATTACAATGTGACCGGTTAATTTTGTAACATTTCAACTTCACGGTTGATATATGAAATATTTTCTCCTTACCCAGATTGTTATTCATACATATGTAACGGCATTGAAATTGTTGGTCCACTCTTAAAAAAAAACAAACTTGTAGACAAAGCATACCACCATTGATGCACGGGGAACACAGTTGATGCATTGAATGGTACTCATCCACTAACTTTTTCCTTTCTGGGGCAGCTGAAATTGACTTTAAACATCTTCCTTGCCCTTCTCACCAATAATGACGTATCCACTTCGTGCGGCTTTGTCGACAAATACCTTCATCTCCATCCTCAACATTTCTAATCTTCATTTTGATTTTATAGTATGAATACAGGACCATTCCTCCCTAATAATCCTCACCATTGGCCAATATTTACCCATGTAAGTTGGATTACAATCCTCGACGAATTCCCTAAGGTGACAGTCGAGCGTTTCGAAATTACTTTGAATAGAAGATGCAGTGATTCAAACGCGAGATATGTCGTAGTCGGGCCAATGCTCGACCACAAAACCGTGATATTCCTCGACGTCTCTCGAGCATTAGGAGAATTTTTCGAATTCAATTATCTCAATCATTACTTTCTTTTCCCCCTGTCAAAAGGCATGAAATTGGACAAATGAGAGGGAGATGACAAGAGTAAATGCGCCACTACGATTAAGATTCCGCTTAGCACTGTTTCGATAAAGCCAAGATTTTTTTAATTTTTGTGGCGGCGATTTTAGCGTGTAATATCCGTTCATTTAAAAGGTGATTTAGGTAAGCAATTTTGGACGGTCGTAGAAGCACATAGAGAGTCGAGGGCATATCCGACATGGACCGAATTTGGCGGTGTTGGCCTCTTTTTCCTTCTATAAAAAACGTGAGAAAATTTCTGATCTTCTCCTTGGATTTTAATTGGTGCTTACAATCTCATGAATCTTATCGAAATTAATTGCAGGTGAGTCTTGGGAAGTACATAGATGTTACATAATTTACTATGATGGATTTGTGCACGACGCCATGATGACGTCTGGGATGAAAAATTCATACAACATAGTAAGTTTAGCTACTCCAATGAGATGGTCGAGGATGAGGCATCTGTTTTGAGATCAAGAGATTCATGAGAAATCACCTCTGTCTCAGAAATCTTAGATTAAGTAGGGTGGATTGCGAGAAGAAATTTGATGAGAGTACGTGCCACAGAGCTAATAAGTGGACCGACCCTTGTACATTTGGGCACATGGCAATCAATGTGGATTTTCGTTTTGGGCTCATTTGATTTCGGAAGACGGCCCATTACGGGGCCCGAAACGTTCTCTTGTTAGCAGACTTGGTCCGGGCCTATTACTAAGCCAATGGATTATGTCGATTTGGGGGCAAAACTAGTTCTTATAGGAGTGAAATGGGTTTGCTTCAGCACCGTGATTATAGTTAGAAACCATAGCACCTTCTCCCAAAGCCAACTATCAAATCGAAGTTGAAATCAACCATCGGCTAATCAGATGGACAACTTGCGGATGAGTCTAGAATTAACTGAGCTCGATTTGCCATTTGACAAATTTTTAGATTTTGAGATCGAGCTTCCACTCGATTCTTTTTTCATAGGATTTGATAGTAGAAGAACTTATGAGCACTCTCGGTCTGTTTTCTCTCACCGATCGGAGTCATATGCTATAAGTACATCATCTGCTCGTTGCCTAATAGTTTGAATTTTTGGGAAAAACGGTTTGTTTGACAATGTTCAAAGCATAAGACTGGGATTCGAATTTTGCCATTCCCCTTTCAATTTCCTTACGCTTCTTAGTTATGTTATTAAGTCTATTTCTCGTGTTTCGACGGTTCTCTCGCTAATGTGATTCGGCCGACAACCGTTAAGTGATACGCTGTAGATACATTCGACTTTTGTGCAACAAAAGGACAGACAACATTGTCAGGTGAATATATGCTTGAGGAAGGCCACCTCCACACTTGTTATTCATGTTATTCAGTCTCTTCTTCCTGTTACGGCTGTTATCTCGCTAATGTGATTCCGCTGACAACGGTTAAGTGATATGCTGTAATTTCATTCGACTTTGTGTAACAAAAGGAAAGAGAACATTGTGGGGGTGAATATATGCTTGAGTAAGGTCACCTCCACACCTAATAATGGTCTGTGTATGTTCACATATGTATATGAGGAGCAGCTGCTTCTTTCCACTTCACACACACACACACAGAGGCACATAGCATTGCTTTATGAAGACATGATGTAGAGAGAGGTATAAAGATGTGAATTGCTGAAAGAATTCCCTCTTTTTTATGTTTGTTTTGCCCTCAGGTATATCAAAGAGCATATGCTAAGGGGCTTCAAATGGCATATAAACCGACCCCCTTCAAGAGCCAAAATTCATCATATGGACAAAGCCATTTCAAGCTTCAGGTGGTGAGCACATTGCGAGAGAGGAAAGTGGTGTCGGGGTTTGAGGTCATATAGAAGCTAAATTAGTGATAGGGCATCTCTCGGTTGGCATGTATGAAATGGAAGGGATCCAAATGCCATTATTCTCAGTCATCACCATTCACATGCCAAAGGAGAATTACCCTGTGACTGTTTCAGCTTAATTAAGCTTTTGTCTAACATCACTGCTCATATCTTTCAAGGGTCTCTCTTGGTGGCAGCAATTCTTGTTTTCCTAAGAAGGTGCATTTGATAATCCCCCCACCCCCCCTTTTTTTTTCTTTCTAATTTTGCGTTTACTAGTTACTCTATTATGCTCCAGACACAATTGACATTGGATGCAAAATTGTTCCATCAAACCTTAAATAAGTAATGCCAACTTTGGGTGTCGATTAGCCGGGTCGGTTTTTTTCTCGAAGCCTACACAGTTCGGTCCAATATCTTTTTTTCTAAATAGAAACATAACCCAGATGAAATTAGAACCGAGATTCTAGTAGATTTTGAAATCGTGAAGATGTCCGGGATGAAAGATTTGTACATCGCAGTAAGTCTAGCTACTCTGGTGAGATGGTTAAGGACGAGGCATCTCTTTTGATATTAAGAGATCCGTGAGAAATCACCAATTTTTTTGTTCCATAATCTAGACTAAACTAACATAATGAGATAACTGCGACTCTTCCTCTAATAATGACGGGTGCAGACGTGTCGCCGGTTCCTCATTGCCCGGACTAAAAAAAAAAACAATAATGAGACTATATGGGACAGAGCTGATAAATGGAACGACCCTCTGTACATTGGGCACATGGCAATCAATGTGGATTCTCATTTTGGGCTCATTTGATTTTTTAAAGACGGCCCATTACAGGGCCGAAACGTTCTTTTGTTAATTCGCGAAGTTGCTATATGATTACTTAACCGAATGCTTTTGTGTTGATTTAGGAGCAAAACTAAATTTCTTCTGGAGTGAAATGGATTTTCTTCGACAGTGTGATGATCGTTAGAAACCACAGCACGTTGAATCATAAAATGGAGTAACAAGTGTAAGTTGCAAATGAACTCTTGCTTGTGGTGCTTTTCGCAAAACCAGCTTTCGAATAAGAGTTGAAATCAACCATCGGCTGACCAGATTATAGCATCAGGTGGACGACTTGCTGATGAGCCACTAGCTCAATTTCTCATTTGACAGATTCTTGTAGATTTTGAGACCGATCTTCCACTTGAGTCTTTTTTCCATAGGGATTGATAATAGTATTTGAGAAAACGGAAAAATTTATTAACATTCTCCGACCGGTGTCTCCTACCGATGAAATGAAAAATAACAAAAACAAAAAACAAAAACGTCGACTCGTATGCTATAGATACATTGTTGGCCTGTTCCTTAACGACTTAAATTGTTTGAGAATAACGATTGATCTAACATGATTTCAGAGTGTCGGGCGGGGTTGGAATCATGACATTCGCTCTTGATTTTTTTTTTTTTATGCTTGTTATTCCTTTTATACTCCCGTTCTGCCAATTGTCTACTGAATGTGGTTCCACCCACAACCGTTAAGTCAATGCCATAAGTACATTTGACTCAGAGAATATCTTTGTGTGAATATATGCTTGTGTGAGGCCACCTCCACACTTA